TGGATTTTGCACAAACCAGGTCAATGAAGGCATTGAAGGAGAGAGTCATTGGTGATGAACACATGACACAAAATGCAGGGATTCTCAAACTTCAGGGTGTCTCTGCCTTAAATATATACTTCAGGTCTATCCTCTTTAGGAATTATTCGTAATAAACTCAGCATTGTAGACTTTATATCAGTTACTGTCATGCCAATTTTCATAGCTGCTTAGGCCTATTGGACACTATATCACCTGTTGTTATTGTTATAGTCTATGTTATTTGTCTTTATTTCATTTCCCATCACCAGAAGGGTGACAGGACAGCAATGTCTGCATTTATGAACATTATATGCTTGTTAATAAAATGGTCGCTTGGATGATACTATACATCTGACTAAGCCACAGAAGTCATAGACACATAGGTTGTTGTGAAGAGGGTAAAGGCAGATACACTATGGCATCTTTTATGTAAAGGATCAGGATGTAGGGGAAGCTTATCAGGCAAAAATCTTTAAAACACAAAAGACATTTACCTTTTCTCTTCTTTTTTCTCCATTACAATGGGACATGGGAAAACTACTGGATATCTGGAGGGTATACTTTTCAGAGGGCAATCCTATTTCTACTGCTTTTACTTTTTATGGGTCAATATGTGTGTGTGAACTAATTGGATGATAAACAGTATAAACTCAAGTGTCAAAATATGGATATGCATTAAGTGTTTAGGAAAAGGCTAATAAATATTGGTGGCCCAGAATCTGAACATTCAACCCAGGCAAAAAATGAAAATTGCTCGTGGAGAGTGGTGTGGGTGTTAAAAAGCTATTGATTTTCTGAAGTGACTCCAGATTCAAAGTCAAGAAATTATGTCTGCTTAAAGTTATTGTAAATATTTGTAAGAGTCAAATGATCCTGTGAATAAAATATGTAAGGTTATTTTAAGTTCAAGGCCTTTATGGTTTAATTAAAAATTCATTTATGTTTTAAAATTTTCTTCAATTTTACAAGCCATTATCAGTTGCTAAAAATAGTCAAACATGCTATCCTTGTCAAAATCAACAGAACAAAAAGAAGTTTCGCTAATAAAAGAATGTTTATTTGGTAATAAAAATAAGATTGCAGTGCAAGACACACATCTATAGGCTTGAATTATTTCTGTTATGTCCAGAGAACAAAAGAAAGGATAGAGTATTATTAGGACAAAGAAATCTACTCATGTTATTTGAGGGAGGTGTAATGCCCTAAGACGAGTGCCTGTAGATACAATATAAGCTATGACTTGGGTCATAGTTGCTAGTTCTATCAACAATTAGTAAGAAGAAAAATATATTCCTAAAAATAGCACAGGCTATTTGCTGGATTGGTGTGCAGAATAGTTCCTGGAACAAATACCTTTATTTACTAACTTATTTTGTATGAGCATTTTCTTGGCATGATCTTTCAACCCTATTTTAGATGAGTGTGAAGAGAATGTATTTGTTTATATGGTTGATTTCCAAATTTTCCATCACTTTCAACAACTGCACAGGGCCATGCCATGATCTATGGCCATATCTAAATGCTGCTACATGCAGCCAGCACCCTACCTAGCCTTGGGGCAATTTCCCAGAAACCTGAAAGGGTAGTTGCTGTGATTTACCTGCAGCTTTGATCAATGACTGAGTAGTGGAGACATAGAACACCTACACCGACAAATAACAATTGATGAGCTTAAACCATTAATAAAAAGATTATCATCAAAGAAAAGCCTGGAGCCCAATGATTTTACATCTGAGATCAACCAAACATTTTAACAATCTATTCTAATTCAACTCAAACTACTCTAAAAATTTTAAAAGGAAGAGGAAGGAATTCTTCCAAACACATTGTTTGAGAACAGCATTGCCCTGATTCCAAAATCAGACCAAGCTCAAACAAAAAAATGAAAGTTTCCTCAGGAACACATAAAAAAATCCTAAACAATATATTAGCAAACTAAATTTAATGGCACCTTAAAAAGACCATTTACCATGATCATGTGAAATTCATCCCCAGATCACAAGGACAGGATGTATGTAAATCTGTAAACACAATGACATATTCCATTGACACAATAAAGGTCTAAAACTATATGATCATTTTAACACATACAGAAAAAAAACTGACAAAATTTAATAACCCTTCCTGATAAAAAACTCTGAAAAATTAGGTATGGAAGGAAGATGCCACAACTGACCCTTGGGGAACAGGCTGAAGCGCAACTTGAGGGAGGCCATGCTGCCTCTGTTAGCACAAGTGTGGCAGCTAGTGATTGGAAGGGAGAGGCCTGCCCACTGGTAAGCTCAATGACTGAGTCTGGCAGAGCATGTGTGAGATAAAGAGATAATCATTCCTTGTTACCTGGATATTTAAGTTTTGGTCACACCTTTGAACACACATCAAGACAGCAAGAAGCCAGATGCAAAGTACATATTTACGCTGAAATAGATTAGAAGGAACACAGTGATGTGGCCTGTAACCCTCCATGCAGTGTAGCACTCCAGGCAGTGTTTCCCTTGAAGTGTATCCATCCACATAGTGTACTGCAGTTCCACTTGAGGATGTTATGCTTCACTGTCAAGCAACAATTATGGGATCTAATGACATCTCATATAAAGGGACATACTCTTTTTTATAATTCATTTTCCTATAGACTACTCTTTTGAATCACCTAAGGCTGCATTTATAAGAATTTATCACCTAAATATGAACAATATGTACAGCACTGTCTCCCTATGCTAAGATCACAGTTATCTCCTGCTTGAAATATTTCTAAAGATCTTTTAACTCTGTTCACTGGTATCTGATCCAGCCAAGATGGCCTCTAGTACCAGAGATTATGTGGATTTTTGAAGCAGAAATAAATATGTATCTATCATAGACTTAGAATAATGCAATGAAATGCTACCTTCAAGTCAGAATAACCTTTATTAGAGTTGTAAAAACTTTAAATTACTATGATTTCTTAATTTTATTATTTGTGTGTTCCCCTATGATTGTTCATCTTGAATATTTTCATTTAAATCTCTTCATCTATTCACATGGTAACCTAATTTAATTTCTCTTAATTTTAGACCATAAGTGCTTTTAGAAACTATAAAGTTATTTATAAGAGAACAGATGCTCAAGATTCAGAATTTGAAAAATAATGGTGCATGAGTATTTTATGACCACTGTCTTCATTCTGTGTTGTGAGGTTAACACTCTTCCTTTCTGCTCTAACATGCTTGGGAAATCATCAAAAGGAAAGAAAACAGATGCTTAGCTGCTGCATCATTGAAGCAGCACTACTATAGAAGTGACACATTCTGTTCCAAGCCTTCATGTGGAAGACATTTGTGCTCATGACTGAGATGAATGGGAGCATGGGCATTTAATTTATAGCATTAGAATAATAGGAAATATGATGTAGTTTATGCATGTCAATAATAGAATAATTTTTGATTATTCTGCATGGAATGGAAATTAGAAGTCACATACCTTTTAGACTCTAAATAGAATGTCAAAACATGTTACAATTTTCATCTGCATGGTTAGGAAACTTGAAGCTATTAGTGAATCTATTCCAATACACTGATTTATACAGCACTGAATAAATGATAAAAGTTGTCAATGGGTTAGTAATTAACTAAAAGCTCTGACAGTAATTACTTTCTTCAATGAAGTTGTATGAATCAATGAGTGAGCTGCTTGGATTAATCAATATGGAAAGCAATCTTTTGTAAATGCAGAGCTGTTTTGTATATTCTGTTGGGATTTGCTTCATTATTTGACATCAAATGGTGATTAAAAACTTCATAACAGTGACCATTGTCACAGAATGACAAATTGCTTGAGGTGATTTATGAAGTACTAATAAGTTTCAGGCATTTTAGCTTTAATATGCCATACATGATACTACATGATACTGGTAGCTCTGGATTCATAAATGGCCTTTAAACTCAGTAGTTTTGAAGTGTGTGTAAGGAATTTAGGAAATTTACTTTCCAGGTGAAGTCCCTGTCTAAACTAACTAAAATTAGCTATGGCTAAAAAAACCCAAACATAATATAGGAGTAATAGTAGGTGAAATTTACAAAATAAAGCACTATTTGGGGATGGGAGTTGTTGTTTATCTGTGTTGAAGTGACTTACCTATCTGGGATATTGAGTAGTCATATAAATAAATGGTTTTGTTCACCACTTTAGCTTACTGAGCATTTAAATCCACTAGATATACTTTCAGGTGACTTACTATGAATTAATAAAGTCAAGAGTATTGGATAAAAAAGAAGAAATTAGCTTCATAGAAGAATATGACAACCAAAAGCTAATATCCTACTGAGTGTGGGAAATGCTGAAAGATTTTTCCTCTAAGATCTGTAACAGGTCCAGGATGCCTACTGTTACCATTTCTACTCAGAATAGTACTGGATATCATGTTTAGAGCAATTAGGGAGGGAAAAGAAATAAAATGCATCCAAATTAGAAAGGAAAAATGTAAATTGTCCCTGTTTGGAGGTGATGTCATTTAATACATAGAGAAACCTAAATATTCTGTTAAAGAGCAGTTAGGCTTGGCAATTTAAGTCAAGTTGCAGAATGCAGAAATCAGGAACATTTCTGTGTCCTAACAGTAAATTATTGGAAAAAATTAGTGAAGAAAAATATCGTTTGTAGAAGCTATGGGAAAAGTAAATATGTAGGAATAAATTTAACCGAAATCTTAAAACTAAACACCAAAAAATGTTGATCAAATGAAAGGAATAGGACAAAAAATAAATGGAAAAATATTCTATACAAAATGATTAGCAGAGTAAATATTGTTAAATGTCTACACTATCCAAAGTGACCTACCATTTTTTTTTGTAGTAGTTGTAGTTTATAAATAAGGCTTTAATGACGTAATTTCTGATAGTGAGTATGAGGAGATGAGCGAAAAGCACACTAGGCCTTAGAATTTCTCTTTTTGGTGTCACAAGGGTTTAAACTGAGGTCCACATACTTGCAAGATATGAGTTCTACCACTTGAGCCAAGCACCAGACCACTTTCTTTCATATAGTTTTTTGAGGGCATGTTTCACGTCCTTGTGCCTGAAGCTATAGATTATTGGATTAAACATAGGAAAGACAACAGTATGAAACACTGCAACCACCTTATCCGTGTCTGGAGAATAGCTGGTGGTGGGACGTAAATACATAAACAGGAGTGTTCCATAGAACAAGGTGACTGTTATGAGATGGGAAGCACATGTAGAGAAGGTTTTGCTTCTGCGTACTGAGGACTTGGTGCTCAAAACAGTAAGAAGAATGCAGAAATAAAAGATAAAGATGACCAGAAAAGAGCTGATCTGAATTGCGCCACATAAGGCAAAGAACAGAAGCTCATTGATGTGGGTATCTAAACACTATAAAGTCAAGAGAGGTGGGATATCAGAGAAAAAATGATTGACAACATTGGAATCACAAAATGGAGGCCTAAATGTGAGAGAGACATGCACCAGTGAGGTCACACTTCCACAAGAATAAGCCAGGACAACAAGGCTGATGCAGACCCTCCGAGACACCAGTGTGGAATAGAGGAGTGGGTTACAGATGGCTGCATATCGGTCATATGCCATTGTTGCCAGGATAAGGCACTCGGCATCCGCAAAACAAGCAAAGAAAAACATCTGTACAGCGCAGCCATGGAATGAGGTGCTCTTCTTAGAAGACAGGAAGTTTACCAGCATTTTAGGAGCAATGGTTGTGGAACAGCTGATGTCTAAGAAAGATAAATTGATGAGATAGTAATACATGGGGGTTTGGAGACTTGAGTCAATATTAACTAGGATTATTAAACTCATATTTCCCACCACAGTTAATGCATATACTATGAAAAATACCAAGAACAGTGTGATTCTAAGAAAGAGATAATCAGTAAATCCTATAAATATGAATTCAATTGGTTCAGAATAGTTAGTCTCCAACATCTTCTTAGTTTTCTTCTTTTGCTCATTGGAGATAAATGGAATCAGGCAATGTGAATTGACTTGGGTGATGAGTGAACCAAGGTCTTTATTTTGCCTTTTAAGGAAGCAAATAGAAGATTAAAACATATGTGGCACTTTGTGTGACAGTTTGTTGGCTTTATTTTTGTCATTCATTTATAGGAGGCTATTATAAATCATTGATTCCAGAAAAGTACTACTTACAACAAGGTGTTTTATGATGTTACTACTCTCTTAAAAACTATGCATTTATATGACATTAGAGAAAAATATAGCTCATATGATGAGAACTGATAAAATAAATGAAACTGAGTAAAGTGGATATATACAGGTAAGACTCTTTTATAATCCTAAAATCACATTTTCCCATGAAAAAGATGGAAGAATTTTTGCAATATTTGGAGTGGATAACTTAATATAACAATTCAGAGCACAGTAATAATGTATGAGATGACTGGATTTAAATCCTGGCTTTGTTACTTATGGTTTGCATGAACTAAGTGAAGTATTTTAACCTCTCTATGATAGAGTAATAAATTAATTATCTAATAACTATAACTTTGAATGATGTCAAAATGTTTATTTATTAAGTATATTTTAAAAAGAAAGTAACATTGAAATATTATAACATAGATGATCAATAGGTGCACATTTTATAACTTTAGTATAAAGTTACTGCAACAATAAATAAGAAGACTATCTCTTATAAAAAACATTTCAAACCAAAAAGAACAATGACAAAACAAACACATTTCTAAGAAAAAAAAAACTCTTCTAATTTAGTAAAATACCCTTCTTATTTAGTAAGTAAGTTAGAAAGTACGTATTCACTGGAAATATCTAGACAAGTGAAAATTAACAATTCCACAAAATTCTCAAATAATCAGGAAAAATACCAAAAATATACCCAATGTACGAGTCATTGTAATTGGCTTCCAGAGATTATATTCACTGAGATGTCACTATTAGCATCAGCTGGTATTAGTGATTTCTATAGATAAGAACTCTGGTGTAGTCCAATACAATGTCTTGATGCCTGCATTGAATGATGGTGATGATAATGTGATAAAAAATTGATAAAAAGAATGGAGACTGGCCAAAATACTTACTAATTACATGGCATGTATTATTTTGTTTAGTTTTCATGATTAGCCTATGGAATAGATATAATTTCTTCTTGCAAATAATGAAAGGAAAGCCTAAAGATATAATTAAATTGTCTGGTTTCATGCAGAGTCCAATTCTCTCTTCCTACTCAAAAATAGTTTAGTTCCTCTTGTTTTGAAATGTGTTCTATTGCAATAGGAATTGTTAGATAGGTTTTATGGTTATAGAATGTTAGAAGTGATAAGAGCTTACTAATGATCCTATTCACATTTCTATTTTCAGATGGGGTACATAAATTACAGCCAAAATATCATCCAAATACTGGATGCTATGGCGTATACCTGTAAACCCAGCTATCTGGGAGGCACAGATGGCAGGATTGAGATTTCAGGTCAGCCTGGGCAAAAAAATTAGCAAGATTCCATCACAACAATCAAGTCTGGCGTGGTGCATTAGGTCTAAACTTTCAGGTGTATGAAGGGTGGAAATAATAGGATCGTATTATTTTGTCAGCTCTGGCAAAAAGTGGGAGACCTTATCTGAAAAAAAACCAAAGCAAAAACTGCTGGGGAATATGGCTCACATGGTAGCATGGTTGCCTAGCATCCATGGAGGCCCTGAGTTCACAACCCACCAAAAAATGAAATCATCTAACTGGTAACATTTTCACAAATTATTTTTAACCCATGTGTGTCTTGTATTCATAAGTATAAGATCAAAGTAAAATTTTTCTTTTAAGAATCCTCATGTCTAGTACAAACTGTTTAGAGAGTGTCTGTATTTGACTATTGAAGAAGAGACTGAGTTTGCCAGAATAACTTCACTCTCTCACAGGGTTCATTTTATACTACTTTGGCATGTTACTAGAAAAATCTACTGAATTGAACTGGCTCTCATCTGTTCTCAGGGAAATCTCATTAAATAAGCCTATTTGTGAACAGATTTATATTTGCTGCTCGGATTTGTGCATTGCAGAAATTTTAGAGCTAATCATTTTCAATTCATTTTCTCCTTCACAAATGCCATTGTGCCGTGATTAAGCACAATGTCCTGGTGATTATAAATAATTCAATATCTGACTTTGAAAGTATGAATTCTAGTAGCTGATATCTATAAAATCAAATACAAAGTGACAAAACTTACTGTGAGTGAATATGCTTTCCAAAATTTGGGGTTTAGTTTCCTGACAAAGGAAATTCGCTGATTTTCTGAAATTTAAAAAATAGGCAAAATCAATAAGGTGAGCAATGCATTGATTAAAAAATGTTTTGTAATTGCCACAAATAGGTAAACCTAGTTCTATATCATCAGCAGCCTCTGCCTCCATTCCCAGCCCATGTACATGCACAAACTGGGACCTTCATATGTGGTGAGTAAATACATTTTGTGGAAAGTAAGTCCAACATCTTTGTAACATCCACAACAGAGATTCTTTAGGTATTTTAAGGAAGAAAATACTTACCTTAGTAGCATCTAAATTTTGAATTGTAGAACTTACTAGGTACAAGAGAAAAAAATATATTTCCGTTCAGGTTTTGGAAATAAGTCTTACAAGGGATTTGTATTTATCTTCCAGTCTATGACAAGTGGGACATTATCCCAAGATAATCCCAAGCCCAGTAGAGCATTGTGTAGGCAATTGCTCTCTTTTCAGTAGGGTTGTTATGTGACTTTTTAAAAATGAAATCATGACAATGATAACACAATTGACTGTGGAGTAGAGAGAAACAGTGTATGTCTTTATCACTAACACATAATTTGTTAAACAGCAATAACAAGACAAATACTTTAATTCTACCAGCTAATAGAAAACAAATAATTTTTGTGGATATTCTGTCACTTCTAACTATGAGTGCAAGTAATTTTTCTAGAGTCTAATTATGTAGGTATGTAAGGAAATGCTAAAGAACCATCTCAATGCTCAGCTGGGATTTGAAATCAGGGTTCATGCTTGCTAAGGCAGGTGCTTTATCACTTGAGCCACTCCACCAGTCCATTTTGTGTTGGCCATTATCGAGATAGGGTTTCCCATTTGCCTGTGGCTGGCTTTGAAGAGCGATCGTCCTGATCTCTGCCTCTTGAGTAGCTAGAATTACGGTGTGAGCCACTGGTGCCTGGCCAGCTCTATACTATTGAGAAGACTCCATGTTGCTCTTATTTTTCTTCTTCATTATATTAGTGACTAGAAGAGAATGTATCTTGAAGGCTGAGCTGTAGATGTAAGAGCTGATAACTCAAGCAACTAGGAATTCAATGCTAATTTTTACTATTTCCCAGCTATGGAGTCTTAATGTATTGATCTCATCTAATTTTCCTTATTTTTTGAGTGGTGATACTCGGTTTTGAACTCAAGGTCTTGAGTTTCCTAGACATGTGCTCTACTTTTTTAGCCATATCCTCGACTCTATTTACTTTAGTTACTTTTCAGGCACAATCAGGGCCAATCTCTACCCTATAACCTCCTACCTAAGGCTTCCCTCGTATCTGGGATCACAGGTATATACTGAGCTTATTGATTGCAATGGTGTCTTGTTAATTTCTTGCTTAGGCTAGCATCCCACCATGATCCTCCTGATCTCTACATCCCCAATAGATGGCATTAGAGGTGTGGGCAAAGTTTCCAAGCCACTGAATTTCCTAAAGTTTTAAATTGTAATAATTGCCAACTGCATCAGATTCTTGTGAGGGTTGAGATAATGCATGTAAGTACTGAGAACTTTGCTTAGCAAATGGTATCTGTTTCATGATTCTTAGCTTTCTTTAACCATTGCAGCAATATTTCTTAATAGCTAACAATGCCTGGCTAGATTGTCATGTCTTTTAAGTATCGACAATGGCACATTATGTACTTTACAACAGGAGGATTGGACAAAACAATATCCAGATTCACTGCAAGCAACTCACCTCCTTGATGTACCTAGTAGAAAATTTTAGATCAATTTAGTTTCTAGAAGAAGGGATTCTTATTGAATAAATGAGAAAAAATTCAGTGTATTTAGAGTAAAGGGCCACAATCCTTAACCAGAAAAGTAATGATTGTAAGGAGTTAAGAACTGACAAACACATCTGAAAAGCATTCGAGTGACAGAAGTGCTTAAATTATTCTTATATTTGGTCTTTCTTAATTTTAATAAACTTACAAGTCTGCACGGGTAATAGTAGAACAATTTCTAATTTGTATTTTTTGGAATAACTTCACTTTCTAGTTGTAATATGCATGTTTTCATTTTTAAGGATTAATTTTAAGAGTACTATAGAATTTTGCAAATGATGTATTTTACAAGAATAGCAGTAAGATGGTTTTTCTCACTTAAGGCAGGAAACATTGGACACCTCACAGAAATGATAGGGAATAGGGAAAACGAGTCTAAAAATTTCCAGGAACAAAGCAGGGGCAAGGATCTCACCAGTTTGCTTTCTTTCCTTGCTCAAAAATGATGAATATAATTTTGATAAAGAAAGAATAGTGAAACCCCCAAGTCTTAATGTGCATGCAGCTAAAGGGGGACTTCTTAGCTTCATTATGGGGTCTTAAAGTCACTGTGGCAATCTCAGTTTTCAAACAATAGAATCATCCTTGTGTGCATTATTGGAAACACTTGTCTTCTGTATAGGAAATCCTCTTAAGGAAATACATCATGTGTTTGAATTTAAGGTATAAACCTAGGAGGTCCCAAAAGCTTTTGATGACTAGTGAACAGAATAGTTTTAAAAAGTTAGACTTATTGTTAACAGAATGTACTCCACTCTGAGTTATATGTTGTTTTATATCCTTGGCTTTCATGATTCACTACACCCAATTCAAAGGTGATTGTTTGGGGTTTTATAGGGAGAAATATAAGAGAACTGGTATTGTTCTAGCCATTCTCTTATTT